AGAGATGGGTACCCTTTAATATAATAGAAAGAGTACCAGTGTCCATGTTGTGCTATAGGAAACCCAAAATATGTGTTGGATCAAATGTGTCAGATAAGAGATGGGTACCCCAAAGAGTAACGGACGGATGTAAGTACAGACAGACGGACGGACAGACATCCCGATCACTATATACCCTCCCACTTTTCAAGCGTGGGGTATAAACAGCTATTTCTGTAGTGGTTGAATTGTTGGTCCTATTCCATACAATAAAAAAGACTTGAAAAACAAATACGTACTAGTATCATTTATTCAAGTGTAACTTTAATTACAGCTATAGTATTGTTGACTCGGTTACCAATCCATAGGTTCCCTTTTGTGTCAAAACAAATTGATAATGGTCCCTCCACCCCGTGGTCTTCCGTTGAAATTAATGCCAGCTGTTTTCCGTCTGCTTCAAGAACGTGAATTGCATCGCTCCATCCATCAAGGATATAAATCCTTCCTGCGTCATCTGTGGCAATCCCTCGCGGATAAAACCTAGATCCACTCCCCGAGTATGAAAATTTGTGCTTTCCACTTCTGTCAGTAACGATTAAACACTCACCGTTCCAATCGGACACGCAAACATCTCTGTTTATGTTTTCGGTTATATAACAGGGATTTCGATACAGATTAACACCGCTGGCATCTTTTTGGATATCGCACAGTTCTCTCCCCTTTGCATCGTATCGTGCGACCTTTGCATCGTGTTTGAAGTACATTCCGATCAGAATATCTCTATTTCGTGCGGAACAGTGAAGAGTGGTCGGGGTCCATTTCCCTGTGTTGATGAGAAGAATCGTTTTCTTTTCCTGTGTGACTTTGTAAATCTGGTGTTTGGGGAGATCTATGATTAACAGATCTTTTTCTGTAGTAACCGCATGGCAGCCATAACCACTACTCACCATAACAAATTTCTCCTTCACCATCTCGCCTCTCAAATTTGCCAGAACTAAACTAGAGTTGTTGTCACTGAAAAAAGCCATTCCATCCCTTAAATAAGAAATGTGACTAGTGTGAGAGATACCTGATACCTCAAAACTCTTGACTCTCTCCACGACAGGAGTGAATTCGAATTGAATGTGTCCTTTCTTGAGTGCAAGTTCCTTTAAGCGTCTGAGTTCGTTGACGCTTGCAGGCTTTACTGTAACACGCCCGAAGAGATTGCCGACTTTTTCTGGTGTTAAAGAATTAGAATTGTAATTAATTTTGGAGACTAAGGGGTTACAATTCTTGATAGGATCATTTTGCAGACTTGTATAAAAATTGACCATTTCTGCAAATTTACTTGATGTTTTCAGTTTATCATGATACTGAACTGCACTTTGCAGATCCGAAACTTTGCCTTTAATGTAGTTTTCTCTTTGCATATAATCTGCAGTCAACGTAATTTTGATATCGGTTATTACTTTCAAACTTCTTGCCAGGTTTTCATCAAGCAGCTTCTTCGCTTGTTCGGCGTCTGATACTAGCTGAGTCTTTACCTTTTCGATTTCATCTATGAAGTCCATTCGACCCTGTATCGCAAGGTCAAGAGTTTCCTGAGTTTGTGGTATCCGAGAAGAATTCATTTCGAATACGCAGCTATCTATCTCTTCTTTCATCGTCTCATAAAACTCTTTTATTTCAATAAACACGTGACCGTTGTGTTTCTCTTTTATACACCGGATGCAGACGGGCACCTTGCATTCCTTACAGCACACTCCATAGGTCAGGTTGGGGTGAATACTACACACCTCAGAAACCTCATCATTTCGTCCAGAGCTGGTTTTCTCTTCTATCAATGTTATTTTCTCCTCTATCAATCCCTCGACATCCTGACCACCTATTTCTTTACTATCACACACGTATTTCTGACTGTATTTGACCACTTTATGTGAACAATCCTCTTGTTTTTCTTCATTGTGTTCGAGGACACATTCTTTGCAAAGATCCTTGTCACATGTTTTGCAGAAAAACTGAACATTTTGTTCACAGCAAGAACATCTGATAAAATCTTGCGCAAAAACAATTTCTTTGGCTGCCATTTTGTACTTTTCGCGTTGTGTCTTCTGTCGTCTGCGAGTCGGTTTCCTGTAGCTCTCTAATATTTCTGTTGGCCGATTCTAAAAGCACCTGTTCATAGATTTTAAATTAATCAAGTGCTTAAAACTTTTTACAAGTGGTATTATCAATTTTAGCGCCAAACCATCTTTGCTTGTACTGATAAATTTCCGGAAGATAAATTTAGACTAATTTAAGTACATGTATGTCTTTTAAATTGATACTTTTGAGTAATTTATACATGTATTAAACATTTTACCGACAATCTCATTTGCTCAGAGTTCAAAGTGAGAACTTGCTTCTTTAGAATCTTATTTTCTTTTTGAAGATTATTCCATGTAGGTAAATGTGAAAATGACACGTCTACTGGAAGTTAAGAATTCAGAAAGAACACGACGAAATAAAAGAGAATATAACGTAGCATTGGCTTGTTGAGAAAAATCTCACATTTAAGTTCTATTTTTTATAGTCATTACCAATCAGCAAAATTAAAAATTAAAATTTCTGTCTCTAACAAGTCTTACATTTTCTGCTCTCTTCACGGCAAACTCTAGCAGTTCTATAACTATACCACAGTATCTCCGTTTTTCTGTCTCCGTGATGTCGGGGTAGGGGGCGTCTACTTTCAGCATGAGAGATTCCAGGTCACAGCGCAGGCGCTGTAACTTGTTAGTAAATGTTCTTTTCTCGTCTGCGTGCGTCGTGCTTACAAACCCTTTTGCAACTAGAAATGACAGATATTTAAAGATTTGAAAGAGGACGACCTTAGAAATTGTGAAAAATTGATTAAGCAATATTGACTTATTTTGTGTGAAGTGACGGCAATGATATTTATGAATTTCAAAATTTCTTAATTGAAACCTAATATTCTTTAAAATACTTAATACAGTGTAACATCTTTTATCTTACCACAAAAATGGAAAAGACGTTGACCTGTTCCCTTATTTGAAAGTTCATAAGTGAATGCTGTCAAGCATGTTTTAGAAACAATATAGAAATTCATGACTTATTTTGACTGAGTACTGATCTGGAAAAATAACTTCCATTAAAGATTACATTGCTAAATTAAAAGGATATGCAACGCTCCGCACTTTGGTATAGAAAGTGTTTTCTTTTTAAATATATACAATGGAGAAAGCCTAGTAGAACAATTAGTTAAACAAGTCCTTTTACAGCAAAATTTCATGTAGCACCAAATTTACAGGAACTCAATTAATCGAAGATATCTTTAATTATTGGCTAAGCATGATATCTATTGAAGAAACTATATTTATTTGCAGATTTATTTATATGCACGCAACAATTTCAATGAAGATCTATTCAAATATGTGATTAATTTATTCCCCCTTTATATGTATTTTGCTGTGTGAATTAATTCATTTGTTGATTTTAATATTTAAATTGCTGAATTGATGCGCGCAATATAAAAAGAAAAACAAGTAAAGTGCAATGCATGACTAACTCTCTATTACTGAAAAATTGCTTTCTTCAATTGATTCGTTATCTCCATCAATTCAATTTAAAAAAAATAGATTTCATTAATTTTAACAATAACTTCAATGGAATCAATTATTATACGTCTCATTAATTAAATTAACGCGCGCGTCAAATCACTTCTTGTTCCCATCAATTACTGTTTATCACTTTTTATTCACGAGAACTTTATGTTCGCGATAAAGTGCTCACGAAAATATAGTTCTTGTGTAGATAAGTATTCCGTGCGATTTTTAGAGCAGTAACCACAGTTCGTGAAAATTTTGTCTGTGTCGTTTATCTAGATTAAATGTCTATCTCGCGAAAATTTGGTAAACTGCAGAGTTGAGTTTAAGAGCGCAGTGAAATTCAACTATATCATACATTTAATAATTGGATTTTAGGATATATTCACATAATTAAAGATATCCTCAAATTATTGAGGTTATGTTATTTTGGCGTTTCATGGATCCCTTCCATACCCTCCTGCTCTTAATACTCCTTGGAATGTTAAACATTAAAAACAAATAATTATCATAACCTCCGCTTGGAAAGTGGGAGGGTATATATGGATCGTCTGTCTGTACTTCCATTCGTCTGTTACGCTTTCGGGTACCCATCTCTTATCCGACACATTTGATCCAACATATATTTTGGGTTTCCCATAGCATAACATGGACACTGCCATTATTTCTACAATATTGAAGGGTACCCATCTCTTCCATATATCCGCAATTCCTCCCATACCACTGAATAAAGTTTTATGATACTCTCTCAATTAAATTCTTTACTACTTAATGCCATTGTCATCTCCTATTTCACCTTTTATCTGACATCCGGATCTTCCAGGGAAAAACATGGACTCTGCAATCCGTCTGTTACGCTTTGGGATACTCATCTCTTATCCGCAACTCCTCGTCTGCAACTGAATGACATTTATGTTTATTTCTAAGAATCTTTGAAAGCTTCATTGGTATAAGAGGGGTTACGGTTGATACCCCCGCATCCCATATGATTATAATGGCAAATAATAAATGTCATATCAAAAAGGAAAATAGGAGGTGCACAATGGGATCGAGAAGTAAGAATCTGAGAAAGTATCATTAAAGTTTATTCAGTGGTATAAGAGGAGTCGTGGATAATAGATGGGTACCATCTGAGAATGGGAAACCAAAAATATGAGTCGGATCAAAAAGCAATATAGGAGGTGCACTATAGCACTATGTAAGCAAGATTCTGTGAAAGTGTCATAAAATTTGATTCAGTGGTATAAAAGGAGTTGCAAAAAAGAGATGGGTACCCCAAAGCGTAACAGTCGGACGAACCCACATCCCGGTCAATATATACCTTCCCACGTTTCAAGCGCGGGAAGGGGGGTACAAAAAACTAACTCTGTAGTAGTTTAATTGTTGGTCCTATCCCATACAAGGAAAAAAATGAAAACCAATACGTACTAGTATCATTTATTCAAGTGTAACTTTAATAACGGCTATGGTATTGTTGAATCGATTCCCAATCCACAGGTTCCCTTTGGTGCCAAAACAAATTGATAATGGTCCCTCCACCCCGTGGTCTTCCGTTGAAATTAATGCCAGCTGTTTTCCGTCTGCTCCAAGAACGTGAACTGCATCGCTCCATCCATCAAGGATATAAATCCGTCCTGCGTCATCTGTGGCAATCCCTCGCGGATAAAACCTAGATCCACTCCCCGAGTATGAAAATTTATGCTTTCCACCTCTGTCTGTAACGATTAAACACTCTCCGTTCCAATCGGACACGCAAACATCTCTGTTTATGTTTTCGGTTATATAACAGGGATTGCGATAAAGATTAACACCGTTGGCATCTTTTTGGATATCGCACATTTCTCTCCCCTTTGCATCGTATCGTGCGACCTTTGCATCGTGTTTTAAGTACATTCCGATCAGAATATCTCCATTTCGTGAGGAACAGTGGAGAGTCGTCGGGGTCCACTTCCCCGTGTTGATGAGAGGAATCGTTTTCTTTTCCTGTGTGACTTTATAAATTTGGTGTTTGGGGAGATCTATGATTAACAGATCTTTTTCTATAGTAACAGCATGGCAGCCATAACCACTACTCACCATAACAAATTTCTCCTTCACCATCTCGCCTCTCAAATTTGCCAGAACTAAACTAGAGTTGTTGTCACTGAAAAAAGCCATTCCATCCCTTAAATAAGAAATGTGACTAGTGTGAGAGATACCTGATACCTCAAAACTCTTGACTCTCTCCACGACAGGAGTGAATTCGAATTGAATGTGTCCTTTCTTGAGTGCAAGTTCCTTTAAGCGTCTGAGTTCGTTGACGCTTGCAGGCTTTACTGTAACACGCCCGAAGAGATTGCCGACTTCTTCTGGTGTTAAAGAATTAGAATTGTAATTAATTTTGGAGACTAAGGGGTTACAACTCTTGATGGGATCATTTTGCAGACTTGTATAAAAATTGACCATTTCTGCAAATTTACTTGATGTTTTCAGTTTATCATGATACTGAACTGCACTTTGAAGATCCGAAATTTTGCCTTTAATGTAGTTTTCTCTTTGCATATAATCTGCAGTCAACGTAATTTTGATATCGGTTATTACTTTCAAACTTCTTGCCAGGTTTTCATCAAGCAGCTTCTTCGCTTGTTCGGCGTCTGATACTAGCTGAGTCTTTACCTTTTCGATATCGTCTATGAAGTCCATTCGACCCTGTATCGCATGGTCAAGAGTTTCCTGAGTTTGTGGTATCTGAGAAGAACTCATTTCGAATACGCAGCTATCTATCTCTTCTTTCATCGTCTCATAAAACTCTTTTATTTCAATAAACACGTGACCGTTGTGTTTCTCTTTTATACACCGGATGCAGACGGGCACCTTGCATTCCTTACAGCACACTCCGTAGGTCAGGTTGGGGTGAATACTACACACCTCGGAAATCTCCTCATCATTTCGTCCAGAGCTGGTTTTCTCTTCTATCAATGTTATTTTCTCCTCTATCAATCTCTCGACATCCTGACCACCTATTTCTTTACTATCACACACGTATTTCTGACTGTATTTGACCACTTTATGTGAACAATCCTTTTGTTTTTCTTCATTGTGTTCGAGGACACATTCTTTGCAAAGATCCTTGTCACATGTTTTGCAGAAAAACTGAACATTTTGTTCACAGCAAGAACAACTGATAAAATCTTGCGCAAAAACAATTTCTTTGGCTGCCATTTTGTACTTTCTCTTAAAACGGAAATATAATCTCCTGCATCATAGCTCAATATGCATGTATTTCCGTGTCATTAATGACTTTATTTTTGTTATAAATTAAACACTTAATACGAACAAGAAATGACATACTTTAAGTCTGGTCGGATTCAATCTGATGACTTGCTGTTTTGTGAAACAACAATACCTTTCAAACTCATATAGGATGTAACTTGACCTGTGTGGTACTAAAGTGGTGAGGATGGGATTTATAAATACATGTGTACGATGAAGGGGGTTTGCTATAAGATAAGATAGGATAATTTTATTTTCTAATTTCGGGCCCAGAAGGCATAAAAGTTTTTACAATGATGAGACTTGTCTTGTACAAAAATTAGAATTTTTCAATCAAAAGTTGTTTATGACAGTTTTAATTATGATTTGTATATCACAATTCTTGTCACATACAAATTTTAACTGAATTATTCAAATTTTTGTAGAGGACATATTGGATATTTTTAGACGTTGCACACGGGGTTGGTGTCAATTTCGGTAATGTCAAAATGACGCTATTTTACGTGATGTTATAAAATTGATTTGATGTTACTTTTTTCAATAACATTTTTGATAAAAGAAAAATATAAACGCAGTATAATGTCGCAAAATATACAATAGAGTTCATTTAAAACACGTGCAATTAAATTCTCTGCCATTTTACATGCATATTGTATGTGCACAGTTTGCCTCTTTTAATAAAAAGCTCAGTAGAAATTACAGAACTTGGCATCGCATTTTAAATTTACCTGCTTTTTTATTTAATTGAGATACATTCAAACCAATCCATGTCATATCAGACATGTCATTTGTTTCAGTACATTGTATGATTGTAGATACTTTGCTGATTAAACACTGAATTAATTTCTTTTCGTTCAGAGTCCCTATCCCCATACCATCTTTAACCCCCACCCTCACATAGACCCTTTCATACTGAGTATTTTTTGTTACAGTAGATCTATCTGACTATTTTAAAAAAATTCAGTTTAAAAAAAAGAGAGAAAACGAACCTGAGAATCGACCCTTCCCCCTCCCTCACTTGCAGTATTTTTCAATGTGGTTCAGATTCTAGGTTTTGTGTTTCTTCAAAAAATATTTTAGTATTCTCCTCTCCCTTATTTTATATGCGTTGTGAATCTGCTAACGAGTGCCGAGCGTGATGAGGTCTTTGGGTCTGCCCCCCCCCCCCCCCCCCCCCCCCCCCCCCCCCCCCCCCCCCCCGGTTTCTGGATCGACTGTAGAGGGGATTGTATTTTATTGAACTCGATTGTATATTTTGCGACATTATACTGGGTTTATATTTTTTCCTTTATCAAAAATGTAAGTGAAAATAGTAACGTCATCACGTAAAATAGCGTCATTTTGACGTTACCGAAATTAACACCAACACCGTGCGCAAAGTCTGTATAATTTGTTTACTTATTTCTTTTTTTTGTACATTCATGCATTTGCTATCATCATTTATGTATTCACTTTGATGTAAGTAGAGGGCTTAAAAGGCTGAGCCTGCTCCCCAATCCTATATCCACTTCTAGATCTGTGTGTAGCATGTGACCAGCTTCTGTTCAGTGTAAGCGTGAATTTTGATATTCGCTTACAACGTGGCACCTCAACAGTGTTCAACATTTGTAACGTCAAAATGAATTGCATACTTTAATCTTTCGACCACCTGTACATTTGTAATGATTTGGGCCGTGGATATCGAGCTCAGTCTAGCACCTGACCAGTAATTCTGGGGTCCCAGGTTCGATTCCCAGTCCAGCCAGACATTTTCTCATTTCTTGTAGCAGATGTAACTCATACATTAAACACAGCTGCTATTTCTTGGAATACCATAAAGGAATAATGATCAATGGATTCCTTTCCTTCAAAAATAACACTGGGTTAAATAACCATCTCTACGGTATATCAGCACTGAGTTACCTCCCATTTTCATTCTCCGGACCTAATGCACTTTGCACAGGTAACTTGATGTGGCTCACTTGTTCATATTTCCTCATGAATGACAAACAAGAGTTTTGTGAAAAACAGCATTTATATGTGAACATTTGTCATGGAGTACAAAGCAGGGGAGGAAACTGATACAAGATTCCTAATGGAGAAATTCCATGTACAACAGCAATGATCTACTCTTGACAGTGGGCAACAATTTTTATATTTCTTTTTTCTACAAAATCATGCTGCGTACTTGTTTTTTCTGCACAAGAATCTTGAAGGGATTAGCACATCACTCTAAGCATTAAATTTTAATAGCTACTGGTGAACTTTTCTCCGAAAAATCACAAACAAGACCAAACGTCAATTCATACATTACAATTTGTCAGTTCATACATTATGGATTTTCATTCCTCATACGAGATTTTCTCCACATATTTATCGAGTTGGTGTGCTGTTTTATGTAACAGACAAATAAATAAAAAATAGCCTACAGTTAAATAGGGCTGTGTTATTAAAATAAATAAAAAATATACAATGAAAATATAGTTTAACTCTTCAAACCAATAATGAAAGACGTAAATGGTTTTTTTCACATATTCAACAATATAATTTAAATATATTAAAATTCAATCTGTATATGATAAAATAGAAAGAAAAAACATTTTATGAGAATAACATTCCACATTTATCAACTCATACAACTGTCTGTGAATTTCTGATGAGAGTTCATCAGATACAATTGATTTGAAAATCTCCAATGCAAGTCAAAACAAGCCAAAGTCTGCAGCCAATATTTGCACAGTCACATCGATTTTATGTTTTGTCTTTCTGTACAGTCAACTGGTTCCCATCATCAGAAAGACCCTAAACTGGTTCACCAAGTTTATGATCACGGGGATGGAATCCATGACTTTTGGCAAACAAAATCAAGTGGACAATTTCTGTGATGATGACTAGCAGAAACTTCATTGCTGTAGAAATAAAATTTTGTATAGAAAATTAACAAGTATTAAAAATCAAAGCAACAGAGCATAAGAGTATATACACAATTTCCTTTACAATCCTTAATATCTGATAAATTTAATAAGCTGTTTTAAAAAACAAAAAAAAATGTTGTATTATTTGAAATGGTCCTTGTAAAGGTTAGATTTCTTTTACAGGAATGAATATTTAAACATTTATAATTATATATTAATATACTTACATACTACTGGTACATTTTGCAAACACAATACGTTCATGCAAAGACAAGAGGTTAAAGGTCAGACAAGCTCTATTATAATGTCAATACTTTAATGTTGAACACAATACGATTTTTAAAACAATAAGCTTACTCAGTCTAGCATATAAATGTAGTAGATTTTTCTTTTCATTATATATATAGAATACACATGTGAGTTTTAGAATATATATATAATTACTAGTACATCATCTAGACTACTTGTGCTATAAATATTTCAAAATAGTTGATTGTTAGAATTATCAATTAGTTGCAAATTATGCATATCTGTATTAAATACCAGCATATAGGGTTTAGCAATAATAGTAATGAAGGAAGGCTACCTAAAACAAATAACAAAGAACTAGGCTATGGTTCTCCTTATATTGTGGTTTCAAGGTTCTTAATATCTTAATATAACATATACTTCTCTTCACATCGGATCTTGTCAATAAATGTAAAACAAGAAAGGAAATTGTTTTTTTATGGAAACTTTTCAATGAGAATAAAAATCCAAATTATATTAAAGAGTTGAACAAAATTTTGATCA